AGAAATGTTGACTGTACAAAAATTAGTGGCTTGGGCCAGTACTCTAGTAGCTAGTGACGTTTGTTGGGGGAGGGGGCTGGTATACACAACCACACACATTTATAGACTTACATGTACAATGATATATATATATATATATATATATATATATATATATATATATATATATATATATATATATATACACACATATATAGACATACATGTACAATTATATATATATATATATATATATATATATATATATATATATATACCCACACACACATATATAGACATACATGTACAATTTTATATATATATATATATATATATATATATATATATATATATATATATATATATATATATATATATATATTATATATACATAAAATACACATATTTACGCCCATATGGGAATGCATCAATGCGTGTTTGCACACACACACACATATATATTTATATATACATAAAATAAACATATGTACGCCCACATGGGAATGCATCAATGCGTGTTTGCACACACACACACACATATATATTTATATATACATAAAATAAACATATGTACGCCCACATGGGAATGCATCAATGCGTGTTTGCACACACACAAACATATATATTTATATATACATAAAATAAACATATGTACGCCCACATGGGAATGCATCAATGCGTGTTTGCACACACACACACACACACATATATATTTATATATACATAAATTACACATATATACACCCATATGGGAATGCATTCATTTATTTTCATTTAGATTTAGTTATTTCATCTGCGTTGGAATTTTAAGCTGTGCTGTTTACCATGGCGTTCATTTCCTAATTATGGTGTTTTTCTTTTTTTTTTTGCTGTGTTTATTTGCTTTTCAAGTGTTTTTTTTTCTCCCAACTACTTCAATGAGGGAAAGAGTTGTCGGTGAATTTGGGGGGGGGGGGGGGGGGGGTCAAACTATTTTACTGAGAGAGCTTTAAGTCACAGTACTGCTTTACCCACTTAAAGTAGCAGCAGTAGTAATAGTTGTGGTTGGGCTGTTACACCATAGTGCTCTCATGTGAAGACCGCCGGTAAGGTTATGGCGTTCTTCTGTCGGCAAGTGAAATTATACATCCTAACCTGACCAGTCTGTGGCGACAGCACTAGCCATGCGGAACCAAATCTTCTGGCTCACGACTCTCTGTCTACTCCGTGGTAACACAGATAGCAGTGACATTATTTTAGTAGTTGTATTGGTACTTGAAGGATGATGTGGTAAATATTACACTAGCCCCATTCACTACCTATTACAATTCCTGCTCCCCATTTTAGTCCAGATGGACAGGGATGTCAATGTCAGTTACAGCAACAAAAAAATATCGCCAGGTAATGATTTTCAAATATTTCGAAGAGGGAGAAAGCAGTAGTCGGTGGAAGAGGGGAGGGGAAGGGGGGGGGGGGTAATGACATAAATTTGATAAGGGGGAGGGTAGTAGGTGGATTTAGTTGGGGGTGGGGGGGGGTGGTGGGGTGGGGATCAAAGACTATCTCTATATCTGAGCAGACAATGATTGTATTAGACACGTGCGATTTCTATTTTCTTTCATTTCCATTTAGCCAAACTATGCCACAGCAACGCGTGGCCTGGTACAGCTAGTATATATATATATATATATATTTATCCACAAGCGCGCACGTTCTCGTGGGAATACATGCATACGTATTTACTTACATACACATGTATATACATGTTGCGTGCTAAATTTATTGGGCTGGTCAGAGGCGTGTAGCTTGAGATGAGGGACGAGTGCAAAGGTTCTCGAGGTGCACGAAGTTGTAGAAAACGCGTTTTTAGAGAATCATGACTAAAAGTGGATCTCTTAGCGAGAACCCTGCAGGGTCCGGAGCGCTGAGTTAAGAAGGATTGGTTGTGGGCAGTGTTGCCACTCTGGATGTTTTACATCCAGATTTACATGTTTTTTTCTTACATTTAGATTTAATCAAGTAACAGAAAGTTTTGTAAACGGCACTCATAGAAAGAAGTAGAAAGATAGAAGAACACACTAGACAACATAAAAATCGGAAGCTATATTTACCGTGCCGGGAATTAAACCTGTCACCTCCAGACGGCGTCTGCGCCTCGCCATGAATACAGCACTATTTACATTTAGACTGCGTTTTTGACGTTTAGATGGTAGATGTTTTTCTAGATGTTTTTCATTTGGAGTGAATTTATCAAATGTAACCTAAGAAACAGGATGAAATTGGACCTTTTAAATGCCATCTTGACAATAAAATTCGGCCTGATAAGAGTAGGAAAAGGCTGTTCCACTTATCAGCTCCCTGATTGGGTATAAAAAGAAAGAGGAACAGCTAAAGCATACCAAAGTTATTTTGGATCTGAAGCTTCAACTTCATCATCCAAGCTATGTTTATCCTGTGCATCTTGTAAGGCAGACTTTAGTAAGGATGAGGACACGATTCTATAGGGTAAGTCATATCAAGTGCTATGTAATTTGTGACCCTTTCCATTTGGATGTTTTTTCTGGATGTTTTCCACGCAGATTTAGATGTTTTTAGATATTTTTTGACTCCGTTTTGGATGTTTTTTGTCAAAGAAAAGTGGCAACACTGGTCGTGGGTGTTAATTTCAGTGCCTTTCAGCAAGTCTGAGCGTGCGGACGCATGTTCCGATGTCTGTGGATTCATATTCAGTTGTCTGTAAATTTTTAGCAGTAACTTGAAGGTTAGTTGCGTATCCTTTACAGGACGTTGCAGAATCAACCCCAACAGCCCCAGGTTGTTGTGTGGGTTTTCTAGGCAAATTTACGTCCAGCAGTTTAGCAGTAACTATGTGTATCATTTTAGTTCAGTGACAGTTTATCTTGTGTATTAAAACTTTGGTGTAGGAGTCGAAATGCTCCCGTGTGCGGATTTTGTGGAGACAAGGTGTGGAGGACCCAACATGTTATTTGCCACAAGGCCGACAGAAGTCGAGCGATGAACTGTGGCGCAGTCGCAAGGCTGGCAATTGTGTAGTGCCTCGTGGTGATTCTGATGCGACTGTGTGTCGAGAGACTTGTTGCCTGGGGCCGAGTCCGATCAGTTATCATGTATCGATTAGGGTGACCCGAAGTAAGGGCACGTAACCGAGGAGGAGAATCTGTCTTGGGTGACGACGCGAGGAGGCGTAGGATCACCAGGAAAACAGGACTGTAGGGGATATCAGCGATAGCTGTGTGCTTGAGGGGACTCGATTTGGGAGTCATGTCGGTCATCGGAATCCTTCGACGGGCTGATGTGCGGTGTGCACATGCTAGAGAACTGGTGTTGTTGAGTCCGTTCCCAGTCAGCCTATGTGTTAGCTCAGTGTAGAGCAGAGGTCCAGTTGATAGGGTAGATTTCCTGTTCACCTGTACATCGAGCCCAGAGTGCGGGACGCTGTAGACCTACGAACTGTAGCCGTCAGCTCGTATGTAGTGACAGCAAGTTCAAGCTGTCCGGGACAGCGACGCTTTACGTGGAAAGCGAGTGAGACAAGGAACTTGGTTAACGTATCAGCCAGGACAAATTTCCATATTACTTCTCACATATTACTTGTGTCTACCCTCTGTGTCGTGACAATAAACATATATGTATGGTGGACATTACGTCGTTGATTTCGTGAAAGTTGTATGTGTGGAAGCGAGAACTGTATTCTTAGACACTTTACCGTTTGCTGCTTGCTGTTGCACCCAGAATAGCACAAAACAATACACGCATACACTCGAAGGAACCGAATCACTTACACATATCTTTTTACTACAACCGAGACTGGTCTAAAAGACACTCTACCACAACAAGCAGTAACGTATAGATCAAGTGATAGCAAGTGAAGAAACTGACAGTGTAAATAATGTTGTAATCGGCGCGTGTGGTTAAGGCGGTGCGAACGAGCTTTGTACTGCCGGGTGGTGGGTTAGATCACAGCTGCGGGCCTTGCGCCTTGCGTTGGTTGCAACAGTCGTATCGAGAAGCCGACCTTTCAGAACCAATGGCAGACTAGTGGACGTAAATTTGCCTACAAAAACCAGAACAGCTAAAAAATGCTGGGGTTGGCTCTGCAATTTCATGTAAAGGATAGGAAACTAACTCTAACTTCAATCCCAGAGTGTTTACAATCTTTTCCTTAACACGCAGCAGACAATAAGCCATTCAAACACTGTTTGTGCGAAGACAATGCAAGATATAGGAGGACCAAGGTGAGACGAAACGAGTGTTGCAACTTTAGTTCACTGGGGATTGCCTATATATTTTATTATTTGCTTAACGTTAAAAAGGAAATATGATATTCTGCTGAAAAGAACAGAATCTAAGTCCGGCGACTTGTTCTAGCTGACCAGGTCAAGCAATCTGACTGTCGATACAAATACATTCTGTTCGCTTCTAATACACTAGGTTCGATATTTTTTCAGGATATTTCGCCGATGTTTTCATCATTCAAGCAGTTTTTGATATTTATGCGGAATTTTCTATTTCAAATGCTTTAGAACTAGTGTTGATATCCTACATATAAATATATCTGCACTTGAATCGTCTTTAAAAAAAAAATTGTGTTGTTTGTGTGTGTGTGTGTGTGTGTGTGTGTGTGTGTGTGTGTGTGTGTGATATGTGTGTGTGTGTGTGTGTGTGTGTGTGTGTGTGTGTGTGTGTGTGTGTGTGTGTGTGTGAATGTTTTCAGAATGAATATAACAGTTGTTGAGCGCCATTTTCAATTTCCTTAAATAAGTTTGCATCACCATTCTCCTTTCCCCCCCCCCCCCCCCCCCCCCCCCCCCCCCCCCCCCCCCCCCCCCCCCCCCCCCCCCCCCCCCCCCCCCATCCCCCCCCACCCCCCTCCCCCCCCCCCCCCCCCCCCTCCCCCCCCCCCCACTTGTTTTACTTTGTTACTTTTATGTTTTGTTTTGTTTCACCAGAATTCTTAAAATACCTTCGCTAGTCGTCTGGTAAGACTAAGTATTGTAATGTTCTCATCTTCCTCCTCCTACCTCTTGTTCTTTCTTCTTCTTCGTCTGCTGTTGTTGTTACTTCTACTGCCGCTGCCACCGCTTCGTCTGCTGTTGTTGTTCCTTCTGCTGCCGTTGCCACCGCTTCGTCTGCTGTTGTTGTTCCTTCTGCTGCCGTTGCCAAAGCCTCGTCTGCTCTTGTTGTTACTTCTGCTGCCGTTGCCACCGCCACGTCTGCTGTTGTTGTTACTTCTGCTGCCGTTGCCACCGCCTCGTCTGCTCTTGTTGTTACTTCTGCTGCCGTTGCCACCTCCTCATCTGCTCTTGTTGTTACTTCTGCTGCCGTTGCCACCTCCTCATCTGCTCTTGTTGTTACTTCTGCTGCCGTTGCCACCGCTTCGTCTGCTACTGCCGTCACTGCCTCTGCTGCTGCTCTTTCCTTT